GGGCACAGGTACCCCCCAGGGCTCAGGCCCCCCCAGGGTTCAGGACCCCCAGGACTCCCCAGGGATCAGGCACCCCCAGGCATACCCCCAGGGCTCAGGCCCTCCCACCCCCCCAGGGCTCAGGACCCCCCCAGGGGGTTCATCTGCTTTTTCCCACAGCAGGTCTTTGGCAGTTGTCACACAGTCACCTGGGGACAGGGATCGAACTTGGTGGGCCTCCCAACCCTGCAATCTGGGCTGCCTGGGCCCCAAGATGCTGCTGTGCGGCTGGGGACAGAGCCGCAGCCCTGAAAGGTGCACACCACCCTGGCTCGCATCCCCTCGGCAGACCCGCAAAAGCCTTCTGTCACGGCTAAGGGACAGAAAGCCTTGTCCCCCTCCCCTGTCCTCTGGGTCTTCTGGTCTGACCTTTGTATTTCTGCTCCAAACACCCGCCCATCTCTGCCATGTCGGCAGTGGATCCCCACGTGCCACCGTTTGCCCGCCCTGCCCAGTCCAGTGCCGTGCCCTGTGCATCCCACCAAGCTGGCTGTTCTCCTGGCACTTGCCTCCTTGATAAAACACAAAGTAATTTCTTCATCTATTATGTTTAGGGTGCTTTGGGCTTTTTGTTCCCATCTCCCTGGAATGTCAGCTCCATGTGGGGCAGGGGCTCTGCTTTGTGTTTGCTAGTCTCAGTATCAGACTTAGCTTCATAAATTATGAAGCACGATATTAAGATAGCAACACTCTCTGGACACGCAGTGATGAGACAGCGTCGCAGAGACGCTCCTCCGGACAGTAGAATGTGGCTTTAAAGCTGATCTAATGCACATGATTATAATCAAGCTTTATCTTTTAAAACACACTGGTGGCAGACTCATGGAAGAAAACAATTGAAAGCAGTTGCTAGCCTTTATTTTGCCACTCAAAGTAAAATAATCACCAAAGGAAAAACATCTTAAATGATCACGACGCAGCAGCGCAGCCCAGAGGATGGGACGGGCTACTCAGGGCGATTGGCATGAGGTCATCCATCACTCCAAAGCTGGCTCCGAGGACGGCACTGGGAGGGCTATGCCTGGACAGCTTCCTCGGGGCTGCTCAGGTCTTCTGGGGAGACGGCAGACAGCAGCTCGGGCAGGCGCTCCAGGGCCCCGGCCTCTGCAGGGGGGCATGGCAGTCAGGGAGCAGCCCTCACCGTCTGCACCCGGGTTCTGGCTCAGGGCCACGCGGTCTCTGCAGAGATCCTCACAGGATCAAATCCAACATCAGGCACATTTCCTATTGCTCCCCTTTTAACGGTTTTACTCTCTTACTTAGCATGCTTTTGAAACTGTCCAACTTTGAGGGTCATGCTTTAAAGAAGTGTATTCCTGTTGGAGTAATATAAACTAGAATCTCCTAATGAAAGATGCTCCATGTCACAAAATTCAAGACAAACTGAAAAACCCTGAGAGAGTCGCTCTGCGCTTTGCTGGGAAAGCCACCGGTGCATCTCCGCTGCGGCCTTCCCGGAGGCTCCGCTGGGCTCAGGCTCTCTGACCTGGTCTGGCGATCCCAAGTCCCTCCTTGGGCGCCTGCCCGGGATGGCCCTAAGGAACAGGCAGCAGGCCTCACACCCCTCCTTTCTCCCTCCCTCTTCACATCCACCTGAAGCCCTTCAACTAAGGCAGTGCAGTCAGAGCGGACAGGACCCAGCACAGTCCCTCCAGGTCAAAGCGGCCCCCTCACCACACACGCGGAACCCCCAGAGCACCAGCACCTCTGTTCCAGAGCCCTCCCCGGGGGCTGCTTCGACTTGTGTGACTATCTGACTCAGAGAGACTCTCTGTTGCCTGGATGACAGAGTAATGGGTGGAAGGGCTAGGGTGGACCCGGGCCGTGACATCAGCAGGAGACACTAGGTGAGGCTCCAGGATGAAGAGCTGTCAGATTTAGATGTGGGCTGCCCTGCAAGAAGGCTGCAGAGAGAAAAGCTGCTCCTTATATGGGCACGTTAACTCACCACACTTAGAAGAAGTGGTTTAAGATGGCCTATAAAAGGCTGGCCTGTGGGACAATGTGGCCCTAAAAGGTAGAGCAGTTGCTACCATGTCAGGAAGTATGGGTCCAGTGGAGTGAACTGGTCCCAGGGCTGGTCTGATGACCCTTTCCAGGGACAGTGTGGAACGAGCAGAATACCAGCCCTTCTGTCACTGGCTGCATGCCTCACAGACCCAGCCAGCAGCGGAGGCTAGGTATGTGCGCTGGTGACCGGTTACCTGCCAGTAGGATGCTATGGAGTCCTTTCTTGACAGGCTTTCTGTGTGTCCTGGGCTCTGAGAGGTGAGATTTTTAATTGGTAATGTTTCACATACCTTTCAGGTGCAAGAAGGTCAGAAAGTCGACAATCATGCGCACAACACTGCCCTCTGCCAGAGGTCTGTCAGAGCTGCCTGGAGAACAGAAAGGCCAGCGTTGATACCTGCCCGGCGGCGCTCTGCAGGGACCAGCCCCAGAGGTCACCATGCCGACCCTGACCGAGTGGCAGGAAGGCATTGCCACCATATCCTCCTGAGGCCCTGAACCCAAGGGCTGTGCCCCCTCTGGGTTTCTGGCAGTTGACACATGCAGCCAAGCCACCAGGCCAGCCTCAGGCCGCGGCTGTAACGTGGCTGGGGCCCAATCCCCCACTGCCACATGGGCCCAGGAGGATTTGGCATCTGTTTGCAAACCAGAGGCAAGTGCCCCCAGCCCTGCTCTGGGCTCAGGCGTGCCCAGGGAGACCTGCATGTATTGAAATCACCTCACCTGGCCTTGCTCCGTCTTCCGGCTGGAGCTCCCTCTTGCCACTGAGGCCATGCTTGTCCTGAAGTGATCTGTGGCTGTCAATGGCATCTGTTTGCAAACCAGAGACAAGTGCCTGAACATCACTGCCCCAGTTGGACTCTCCCCACCGAGGAAGGACACATGGCTGCTTATGACCAAAACGCGCACAAGCGGACTGTAAAAGGATGCCACGGCAGGGAGACCACGGAGGACGGAAGGTCGGTCTCTGTGGACTTGTAAAAACTGAGCCGAGGCCAGAGGCCCCAGGGTTTCTGGCTACTTAGCCCAACAGGCCGTGTCATCTACAAGGCCAGACAAAAGAAAATTAATGAATTTTTCTGGAGACGGAGGTCTTGGCCCTGAACCTGAGGAATGACAGACAGATAAGTGACCTGGCCGCTGCGATGTGCACTGAGTGGAGTCAGACTCAATGGCCGCCACCTCCCCATCGCCATTTCCTGCGCTGACGGTCAAAGCCCAGGTGTCCTGTTAGGTCGTAAAGCATGCAGACTAGATGGGCAGCTGCTGGTGATCCAACGTGAAGAGATATGAACTTAATAGTGAAAAAGAGCTTGTTTCCTAACTCATAATTCAAAATCTTCCTCATAAGCCTTTTTTCAGTATTCCAAAGTAACACGAATAACTATTTTGTTGAAGGTATTCTCTCTTCTGGGCCAGAAGCACAGACACGTGGTGCTTTCTGAGAAACAGAACTCAGGGGTGCAGAGGGTTGAGGAAAACGTGTGCCTCCGAGGCAGGTGGCTTCTGCAGGGAGGCCTGGCCACTCACAGTGAAAACACCAGGAGGCTTTTTAAATAAACAGGTTTTTTAAGGTACATGGCTGTCCCCAAATCATCCATGCCTGCAAATCTGAGACCCACAGGCAGGAAAGGGATTGGAGGGGAAACTAAAAGGTCTCCTCGTCTTCCTTCAGGAGCCTCGAGCCTGAAAGGCCACCACAGGCGGAGGACGGGCCAGAAGCAAGACTGGGGGCGGGGTGGGTAGGGGGCACCCGCACACGCCACGTCCCTGGGCCGTGCCCTTCCCGGCTCGCCACCTGGAGCACGCCCGTCTGTGCACACTGCCGCCCCGTCTCCTGCTGTGTCCTGCTCCCATCTTAGGACCCCAGTTACTGAGCTCCAGACGTGGGGTGCTTGTCTGCAAATGCAGCAGTGGGGCTAGGGGTCTGAAGAGCACCGACTTGATTCATCAGATCCTCTGCATCATGAATGCGATAAAAGCGCTCGCACCGTGTCCAGCGTCAAAGCAAGGACAGAACACCAAGTATTAGCCCACCTGCAGGATGGCAAAATCTGGGTATTGACGGAGGTGCACACAGGCACACAGGCACTCAGCCCCCCTGCTCCCCACCTTCCCTCCCTCCCCTCTACTCTGTCCGTGAAGGTCAAACCACACACTTGGGTTACATGCACACACCCTCGTCTACAAGTTCTTTCTGGTAGAGTCAGTAAGCAGAGTGAGGGTGCAAGGCTGCCAGAAACCCCGATACACAATTGCAGGTTGGCCAAAGTGTCTTCCCATTGCGTATTTCGTCCAGATTCGAGCTTTCAAAGCAGAGAAAGTGCTAATGAGACAAACTGGTGTAGGCGGAGGCCGGCCAGCCCTTTCTGGGAACACAGGACTGGGACCAGCGGATCCGTTTCCACACAGTGCCCATGCAAGGCGCTGGCACCTCCCGGCCTTCCCACGGGGCTGGGTGGAAGCCCCGGCCCCCAGCCCCTGCTCCGGGCCCAGGCATGCCCAGTGAGACCCTGGGCATTTAAATCACCAGCGAACACCCTGCAGGCGGACTAGGTAATCCGCCCTTCCTTTCCTGCGCTCCACTCCTCCCGAAGGCACTTTAACCAAAAATACCTGTAAGTCCTGCTCTGTGCCTGCTAAAGCCACAAGATGCCCGACAGTCTCTGTCCTCAGAGAGCAGGGCACCCAGGCCATGGGGCTCCTGGGGATGACAGCAGGCAGGGGAGGGCCCACAGTGGGGGGACCTCATGGGGGACAGGGAGAGAATGATCCACATTTAGTTTTGGGGTAAGCCCATTTTGGCTGTCCTTGGGAGATTTGGAAATTCCCACCCACAGTGGACTTTGGAGCCTTACGAGTGGGTGGGAGTATTTAGGGACACAGGGACCCGGGAGAGTGCCCAGAACAGAGCCAGGAGGAATGTATGCCTCCAGGGACCGTGACCCCGGAAGCCTGAGCAAGGTCTGGTATCCCACCGAGTGCAGGGCAGGAAAGCAGGGGAAGGAGTGGCTTCTGGAAGGAACGGGTCGGGCCGGGCTGGGCCAAGTGTGAAACCCAGGAGTAGTTTCAGGGGTCCGCGGAGGGGCCAGCCCTGGGGAATGGAGGACAAAGGGGAGAAGGCAGAGGTCTCGCTGGCCACACTCAAGGAAGGGCAAGGTGCCCCAAGGCGGGGGTCGGGGGACCCCAGCAATTAGCTCATTTGCTTCGCGGGAGGGGAGCAGAGGGAAGGGGAGAAGGACTGACACAGGCCTGGGGCTGCGCCTCAAGGAGCTGGAAGGAGCTCCACCTGGGGATGCAGCAAATACTTGAATCAACTGATCGTTAAGCTCCATGGATCCCCTCATTTCCCTTTATCTGCCTAAAACTGGAATATTAATGTATCAGAATGATGACTGATTACACATATTTCAGAAAGAGCAGGATTAACACAATGGCTACCGGTCAGCATTCGAAGGGCAAACTCGGTGTTCATCGGCCACACACGCTGCGTCACTTACGTGGACCAAGAAGGTAACCAGCACTGTTCAGGGTCCAGCCTCTCTTTTCCTTTGCCTTAAACGGGAGAAAATGGGGTCAGATGGCAAGGTTTGCACCTGGTACAGGCTGTGCTGGTTCAAAGAAGCCCCAAAGGCAGCTCCTGATGGTATAACCCATCATGGAATCTGGGAAGTCACCATGTACCTCAAATAATCACAGAATTTACATTACAAATACAGTTTCATGCAATAAGCCAAATGGAGCAATGTTTAAATGAAATCCACCCGGGCTTCCCTGGCATTACGTAGGAATTGGAATGTGTGTACTTTTGGAAGCTGCAAGAAATTCCAGATTTGCCCCCAGATCTATATTTGACATGAAAATAGGACCATTTGCTTTAAAATAATTCACTTCGAGCCATGGACACGAACTCACAGTGTATCCACTTGCTCTTAAATGGCTTTGGGGACACATGCTGATAATCACGGCTCCACCGGGTGTCGTGATCTTCTGCTCAACTGAACGCAATGAGATTTGCTGGGCGAAGGAGCTACCTGAAGTCTAGCGGTTGCCGGCGTGCTGGTTTACAGCCAGGCCTGTTTACGCGCCGGCCGGGGCGCGCGCCCCGGGAACCCGGGGGAGCGCGAGTCCGCCCAGCCGCGGCCCCGCAGCCCGGCACCCCGCGCACCGCGGCTGCGTCCGGGAGCCCGACTCCGCGGCGGAGGGACACCGCTGGGGGGCGCTGCTCCTCCCCGCACTTACCGGTGACCCGAGCGCGGGTGTGGCTGAAAGCGCGGCGGCGAGGAGCAGGGATGCGAGCAGGAGGGCGCAGCGTCGGGGCATCTGCAAGGGAAGGCGGCGGTGGGGCGGCGCGGGCGGGCGCGCACGTCGGGCGGAGGCTCGGGTCCCGGCTGCGCGGGCGGCCTGGCGGCCAGGAGCCGGGGCCCGGCCCGTCCGGAGAACGACCGCCGCAGGCGGGGCGCGGGGAAGGCCGGGCGGTACCTTAGCGGCGGCGGCGGGTCCCGGGGTTGGCGGTCCCGGGATGTCGCGGGTCCTGGGTATCCGGAGTCCCTGGCGTCTGCAGGTCCCGGCGTCCAGTCGGCTCGGGCCGAGTCGCGTCTGGCCAGGCCGGGGTCCTCACCGCATGGCCCGGCCTCGGGGACACGGAGGCAGATGCGAGAAGACCGGGCTCCCTCGACGTGTCTGCGCCCCGAGCTGCTGCCGCTATTTATGCGGCGCGGCCCGCGTCACCGGCTCCGCTCCCGCCCCCCGCGCGCCCGCCGAGCCCCGGGAGGGGGCGTTGGTGGCCGTAACGCGGTCCCTTGGGGGCGCTCCGCGGAGCGCCGCGCAGTGGTCCCTTCTTCGGATGGGGGGTGGCGGGGACGGCGGGGAGCCTCACCCGCCACCCGACCCGGGAAAGGTCTGGCCCCCATCCCAACACCGCGTCCCCTGCCGCGGACGCCGCTGAGCTAGCCGGCCCCAGGCTCGGCGGCCAGAGACCCTGGGAAGGCGGGTAGGGGACGACCCCTGTGTCTGTGCCAGACCCGGGCGGGCGGTCCTGGGGCAGCTGGAGGTGGGCGCCCCAGGTCCCCGTCCCCTGCACGCGCGTGCGCGCTCAGCCCGGGAGCTGCGCGGAGGGGGCGGTTGGGCCCACAGGAGGCCAAGCTTCCGCGCCTCTCCAGTGGCCCTTGGGTGCTGACCCCTGTCTGTTTTGCTCAAAGAGGGCCCATCAGCCCAGGCAGGGGGGCTTGTCAGGCCCTGGCCACCCGCGAGCTGTGGCGTCCTACAGACCAGACGCCGCTGACGGAAGGGGCGGGCGGAGCAGGAAGAGGCTGTCCTGTGCCGGGCGGACGGCGATCAGGCAGCAGTCAGGCCCGCCTCGGCTTGCTCCGCAGGTGCTTCCCCAGCTTGGGCCAGGCTCAGGCTGGTCCTCTCCTGCCCACAGCCGGCAGGGGACATACCCGGTGGCACCTCCAGGCTCCGAAGGAGGGATGGGACCATCCAGCAGAATTTTCCCGAGTGCCTGCCCCCATCCGGCTGGCCACTGGAGTTCCCAGCAGCCCCTGCCTGCACTGTGGGGCCACCGCTGGTCAACCAGAGGCTGCTGCCCTCTCCTACCCACCAAGCTGAGCGTCAGGCTAGTTGGCATCACTGGGAGCCCCGGAGTAAATAGGAAACAGTACAAATGATAAAACTGATGCCACTCTACACATGCCACACATTTCAGTGCTACAAACCTTTGTGCAGATGGTTCCGGTGGCCAGGGCAGAGCCATTTGCCTCTGCTGGGTGAGGAAGCCCGCCCGAGGACCCTGTCACAGTCAGTTGGCCGGTTGGGAAGGAACAGGGCCCTCACCTGGGGGTGCTGAGTGTCTGCCCTAGGTCACTGGAGGGCAAGGAGGGGTGCTGGTGGGGAGACCTGGCTGGGTGAGGGTGACAGGGGCCGGGTGGGAAATGGGGATGGAGTTGGGGCAGGAGGAGTTCTCAAGGGCACGCTGAACTCCAGTCACTCGGCAGCCTGGGGTCGGATGAAAGCGACGGGCAGGGAGCCTGAGCAGGACTCACAGGCTGATCCTGGGGAGCCCCAGAGTGCGTTCGTGCAGGGAGGGCAGAGGGGTGGGGCTGCCCCACCCCCACAGCCTTGGTCCTCGTGGACTGGGGGCAGCTAAGACACAGAAGAGCAGAGGGCAGCCTTCTGTGACCCTGGAGAAGTGATGGTGACATCCTCCCATGTCCTGCGTCCTTGTATGTCAAAGGCTCTGGGGAGTGGGCAGGGGCCAGGCTACGGGTGCTCTGCCTGAGAAATGCCACCGCCTTTTGATGTCTGCCAGTTTAACAGGAAAGTTATATATCACCCTGGGTCCCTCATTTTTCTTCTGAGAGCAGGGTACATGGCGGCCAGTCGCCACCGTGTCCGTGCCCCCGTTAGCTGCCTTTTGCCATGATGTGCTGCTTCTCTCGACACATCTGCAAAGGAGCCCCTTAGTCTGCCTGAAGAGGCAGAGAGTCTAAACTGAAGTCCTTGGGATGGATCGATACACAGATGCCAGCCCTGTCTTCCAGACAGGCTAGAAGAGGCCTGTTCGGTCCAGTTTCCCCCTGCTCTCATGTGGGCCCTTATACTCTGTTTTTGTTTCCTTTTTAGCTTTGAAAGAAACTTTATGGAAGTTTAACTGGTAAAAGAGCCTCTTTATTAAAAAGGCATTTTGCCTTCAAGTGAGCCTCATTCTTGCAAATGTGTAAAGCAAACAGGTGTAGAGACACACATCCTTGCATATATACGTCCACCCAGGTCCTAACGAAAACGCGGCGACAGGCAGGCCAGGGTCCAGAAAGCAAGTCTCCAAGTGCGGATAAGGCGGCCCCTGCAGACAAGCAGGACACACCCCCACACCCTTGTGAAGTGACGCCATCAACTTGTCATAGCCCCCAAACCTTCCTTGCAGTGGGCCCCTAATGCATGCAGGGGCTCAGGAGCAGCCAGGGTGCTGGACAGGGAGCATTGGCACCGTAACTGACAGAGAAAGGGAACATTCAAAACACAAAACAATCAGTCCTCTGGCCACCTTTTCTGGGCATCTCCTGGAAAAATCCTAAGCAAACATAAGCCACCTTCACGTGTATCATGCATGCATTGAACAAAAGTGCTCTGACTCATGAGACAGACTCCAGGTCAGTGAGCTTTATCCAAGCTCCTAGGTCTGGCACCATGACCCCACCTGGGGGCACCCACTGTGGCTGCGCCTCCCTGAGTCTGGGCGAGGGGATGTGGCCAGACAGTCAGCCAGGGTTGGGAAGGCTGAAGACCAAACAAGGCTGTAGCGTGGGGTGCACTGTGATTCCCGGAGGCTGGCAGAAGCGTTCAGACAAAGGTGAGTGGCACACCTGGGGTGACAGGCACCACTTCCCAGCACAAGCTGTGCTGGAAACCACTGCACGGCCGGCATTATAATGGGCTCTGTGCACTCAGCAGTGACTCACTGGGAGTCGTTGTCAGCTCATCATCTTGAAGACACCCAGTGTGTAGCAGAGAAAATGGGTCACCATTAGAGTAATGGGAATCAAGCAGAAAGCATTATTGCAGCCCTGCACTGTGAGCTGGCCCTTCTTTCCTTAGACACCCTGTCCACCACAAACTGAGCCGAGGCCAGAGGCCCCAGGGTTTCTGGCTACTTAGCCCAACAGGCCGTGTCATCTACAAGGCCAGACAAAAGAAAATTAATGAATTTTTCTGGAGACGGAGGTCTTGGCCCTGAACCTGAGGAATGACAGACAGATAAGTGACCTGGCCGCTGCGATGTGCACTGAGTGGAGTCAGACTCAATGGCCGCCACCTCCCCATCGCCATTTCCTGCGCTGACGGTCAAAGCCCAGGTGTCCTGTTAGGTCGTAAAGCATGCAGACTAGATGGGCAGCTGCTGGTGATCCAACGTGAAGAGATATGAACTTAATAGTGAAAAAGAGCTTGTTTCCTAACTCATAATTCAAAATCTTCCTCATAAGCCTTTTTTCAGTATTCCAAAGTAACACGAATAACTATTTTGTTGAAGGTATTCTCTCTTCTGGGCCAGAAGCACAGACACGTGGTGCTTTCTGAGAAACAGAACTCAGGGGTGCAGAGGGTTGAGGAAAACGTGTGCCTCCGAGGCAGGTGGCTTCTGCAGGGAGGCCTGGCCACTCACAGTGAAAACACCAGGAGGCTTTTTAAATAAACAGGTTTTTTAAGGTACATGGCTGTCCCCAAATCATCCATGCCTGCAAATCTGAGACCCACAGGCAGGAAAGGGATTGGAGGGGAAACTAAAAGGTCTCCTCGTCTTCCTTCAGGAGCCTCGAGCCTGAAAGGCCACCACAGGCGGAGGACGGGCCAGAAGCAAGACTGGGGGCGGGGTGGGTAGGGGGCACCCGCACACGCCACGTCCCTGGGCCGTGCCCTTCCCGGCTCGCCACCTGGAGCACGCCCGTCTGTGCACACTGCCGCCCCGTCTCCTGCTGTGTCCTGCTCCCATCTTAGGACCCCAGTTACTGAGCTCCAGACGTGGGGTGCTTGTCTGCAAATGCAGCAGTGGGGCTAGGGGTCTGAAGAGCACCGACTTGATTCATCAGATCCTCTGCATCATGAATGCGATAAAAGCGCTCGCACCGTGTCCAGCGTCAAAGCAAGGACAGAACACCAAGTATTAGCCCACCTGCAGGATGGCAAAATCTGGGTATTGACGGAGGTGCACACAGGCACACAGGCACTCAGCCCCCCTGCTCCCCACCTTCCCTCCCTCCCCTCTACTCTGTCCGTGAAGGTCAAACCACACACTTGGGTTACATGCACACACCCTCGTCTACAAGTTCTTTCTGGTAGAGTCAGTAAGCAGAGTGAGGGTGCAAGGCTGCCAGAAACCCCGATACACAATTGCAGGTTGGCCAAAGTGTCTTCCCATTGCGTATTTCGTCCAGATTCGAGCTTTCAAAGCAGAGAAAGTGCTAATGAGACAAACTGGTGTAGGCGGAGGCCGGCCAGCCCTTTCTGGGAACACAGGACTGGGACCAGCGGATCCGTTTCCACACAGTGCCCATGCAAGGCGCTGGCACCTCCCGGCCTTCCCACGGGGCTGGGTGGAAGCCCCGGCCCCCAGCCCCTGCTCCGGGCCCAGGCATGCCCAGTGAGACCCTGGGCATTTAAATCACCAGCGAACACCCTGCAGGCGGACTAGGTAATCCGCCCTTCCTTTCCTGCGCTCCACTCCTCCCGAAGGCACTTTAACCAAAAATACCTGTAAGTCCTGCTCTGTGCCTGCTAAAGCCACAAGATGCCCGACAGTCTCTGTCCTCAGAGAGCAGGGCACCCAGGCCATGGGGCTCCTGGGGATGACAGCAGGCAGGGGAGGGCCCACAGTGGGGGGACCTCATGGGGGACAGGGAGAGAATGATCCACATTTAGTTTTGGGGTAAGCCCATTTTGGCTGTCCTTGGGAGATTTGGAAATTCCCACCCACAGTGGACTTTGGAGCCTTACGAGTGGGTGGGAGTATTTAGGGACACAGGGACCCGGGAGAGTGCCCAGAACAGAGCCAGGAGGAATGTATGCCTCCAGGGACCGTGACCCCGGAAGCCTGAGCAAGGTCTGGTATCCCACCGAGTGCAGGGCAGGAAAGCAGGGGAAGGAGTGGCTTCTGGAAGGAACGGGTCGGGCCGGGCTGGGCCAAGTGTGAAACCCAGG